CCCTCTCAAGTGGGGAAGCTGCACAAGTAGAAAGAGAACTTGACAGTGACAAAACATGGTTTTCCTTGTGGTTAGCAGATGCTTAGTAAAAGGGTTAGAGTATTTGGAACTACTCTGGTCAATGAAACACACAAAAACCTACACCACAGCTCTCAGAAAAAACATACATATAAATACACACACAACCTATAAAGAGACAGGAACAAAAGGAACAAATCAAAAAGAAGAAAACAAATTAACTAGTGTGATCTTTCAGCTCTTTTTCAAATCCAAAAGCCTTTGGATTTACTCAATTCACATGAGTGTTCCAAACTGGTGCAAATAAATTTAGACACGTCACTGAAATTCCACCACAATTCATATTAAAACATAATGTATTTAGAAAATTAAACTGCAAAATCTTTGTCCATAAAATCTACAAACATAGGACAGTGTTTAGTGCTAACAGAAAAAACACTAGCTGGACCATCCACTGGGCACTGGAAGGGTGACCCTTTATGGTAAAAGCTTCATGAGCCAATCTAGTGAACAACACTGCATGACATAATACCTGGTAGCCTGTGTCTGTTATCCTCTGCCAAATGCCGGGATCAGGGAAAAAGACTAAGGCTATCATCACACAGCAGGCTTTGATACCAATTCTGCTTTTTCGTGAAAGTGGATTCTTTTTAAATGGTCATTCACATTCACAAATGTATGCAACTTGTATTTGATGTTCTGTGTTAACCACAAACAAACTATTGCCACGTGTCCCACATGGGCAATAGAGGATAAAATTACATCACACATAGCTAGCATGTTTGTATTGTTTATATCCATGCTCAGCCATTTCTTGGGAAATAGTCAGCAAAATAAGGGATATCTAGCTATCTTAAGGTGTCTATTTTAGTCTCGTCTTTAAATTTTCAAATCACACAATCAGTTTCCTTTTTAGGCAGCTTTTACTTTGTGGAAACAACCGGAAGTGCTGAGCATCCAACCTGTAACCAATCAGGTTTTCCAATTTGACCAACCTCATTCATTTGGTGCAATAACCGAGTGGTGTTAAATGCTCTTCAAAGCATTTAAGTACAGCAGAATATAAATGCATAAAGGCAAGCAGGAGTACACAGTTTGAGCCGTTTCTGAAAGTTCAAATGAGTTTTGCATCCGTACCTCAAGGTAGAGAGGGGAGTTGGAGCCATGGTTCATCCTCTGGGCTAGCTGGTCTCGCTGCAGGATGCACTCCTTGAGGTGGATGACGTTCGGGTGTTGGCTTTGGATGCTGCTTAGAGCCCAGAACTCCCGCAGGGCCAGCTCCACATTCTCTGGAGAGTGGCAGCGGATCTTCTTCACTGCCATCCGGGCCCCTGTACGCTTCACCACTGCTTCATAGACAACGCCATAACTGCCGCGCCCCACCTCCTGGATTAGCTCGTACTTCGGCTGGCTGCTTACCATCCTAGTCCTCACTGTGCAGGAGAAACATGGGTGTTAATATCAACCCGTCTAACTGGTTGACTTCACATGATTCAGCAAGCCGAAGGCTGGATAAATGCCAACGGAAGAATGCAAAACAGATAGAAGAACATACTAATGTGGACAAATTCTGCAAGTGTTATATCTAACAAACAGCTAGCAGAACTATCATTTCCCAGTCACAAGTTGATCATGAAATGAATAACTCATTATTTTAGCAATAGTTTTAGCAGCACATCAGGTGGTCAAACATCTCCAAACATTTCTCCACATCAAGTGGAAATATCATGGAAACTGCATGAGTCGGACACATTCCTATTAGCATAGCAAGCCTTCAGTGTGAAAGTTTTTATTTAATGAGAGAGATCCAAGCTGCATTGTATAGTTGAAGTTTTACTGATCAGGATATTTGAGGATAATCGCGTTTTACAGGACGTTTGAGTTCTAATGTAAAATCATTTAGAAACGTCGAATTTTTCACATTCTATGTTATACAGGCGGTATCTTTCAAAAGCAACATAATTTCCATTATTTTAAAAAATGCAATGCGCTATATAATATAAGACATAATTAAATCAATGCCTGTCAACCACAGTGATCAAAAAATAAAAGGGAATCCAGAGAAATGTCTCTATGTAAGCCATATTGGTGAACACCAACACTGAAAGCCTGTGACCTTTGACACCCCTGCAATAAAATCTTGCATCATTCTGAGAAAGATATTACACGAAATAGGCTTACAAACACTTCATCCAGTAAAACTCTACCTTGTAAAGTGAAAGCCATGTTCCGAGAATACCCAGAAACAAGTTACAGTGGGCCGGAGCTCACCAGAGATGGAGTGATTCAGAGTGGAAATGCGTTCATATTTATAACAATGACTGGTTTTCCATCTGTGAAGGAAGCCAACCTGTCATTTGTTGACTTCTGATGCTTGTCAGAAGCAGGGCTTGCAGCACGTGAATGCTTCTCTGAAATCCAACCCAGAGCGGGAGAAGTGCTCCCGCTGCTACATTCAGAAGAACCACTGTTATCATCTTCACAACGTTCAAAATCTTTTAAAAGATTTTTAAACAATAAAAACTGCTTTTCAGGTGTTTATTTTTTTATATTTGCTCTCTGTCATGGTGGTAATGAGTTCAACTGTTTGTGCCCAATGGGGTGGAATTCCTCTTTGCGTGTCATAAAACAGAAAAGACTAGTAAAACAGAAATGCCTCCCCAATGTAAATTTGAGAGACACTGGGAATGGTTACAGTTTTAATTCAATGGCTGACTGGTCTGCCTGCAATACGGATCCGTCTTCCATTGAAAACGTGGCACATATTGAAGCACAAAATAGTGACAGCAAAGTTTTAAGTGAGTGACGTTGTGTATCAAGCAATAAGGCAAATACATTGCGTTCTACCAGAGCTTTAAAACTGTAACTTCTAAAAAGCTGAATGAGTATTCTTATATGGAATACTGATGCAACACTGTGGTAAATGACTTTTTTAAAGGATTCAAATATAACAGATATTAAATCCAAAATGAGTCCAAATTTGAAAAAAAGCCAGGTTAGCTTAGATTTGCTCACAGCTCTCTGTAGCACAACTTGCGCAAATCGCATTACACAATCATCTGGCCTCAATGTTGAGCTAGACCGAGTTGCAGGTGCAGTTGAGAAGTTGGCATGTCTTTGATGGCAGGCACATGAGCCTCCAAGGAAGTAATTTAGCAATCAGTCTACTTTGCCACTTACTCAGCCGATCCATTTCTTAGTCCACTACAGATCCCCTTTGCTGCTACATTAAATTACACTAAGGCATAGATACTTTTATGGTTTGTGACTGAACTGTGAGAGGAATACTTTTAAGGCATGAAATATATAGCATTAATGGCTTCATCAATTGTTAAAATGTTAATGTCTTCATTCATACACACTTTAAAGTACAGAATTTATCTTCACTAAAGTGCTGCTCATAATTCGATTAACTGTTGATTAACAGTTTAACAAGGAACAAGTGTTCCTTGTTATCAACTACTTCATAACATTATTAGCATAAAATTAGTGATATTTAGCGCAACAGGTCACCAGTATATTGCAGGGCCTCTAATTTCCATGATTTAAATAAAAGTCAGTTTCATTATGACCCTTAACACCTATAAGGATCACACTCCCTGTCCCCTCACATAAGGCTATAACAAGGCTAAAACAAGCCAACACAAGATTTATTAAGTGTGGAAAACATTTTTTGTGTGTGTGTGGCCTTTTCCTGGTTGAGATATAATAAGCATAAAGCAATACAGGTGAAAAATAGATTATCTAATTGCAAACTCTGAAAGTTGAAAAACCAATAGTAAACCATAAACATCTTATCTGGCTACATTGTCATTGGTCAGTTAAGGTGAGGGGTTTCTGGTACTTAACCTTGTCTGTCTTGCCTACAGTCATACTGCTTGCTGTTAAACATAAAGCAACCGGATACCTTCATTTTCCTTTCTCCCTCATGATCACATGAGCTGATTATTACCTCTTTTCCACATGTATAGTATAAACATGCCCATCCAATATTCACTTCATTAATCCTGATTTGTACAAGTTTGTTCTACTGCCAAAATGGATTTAAAAAATGGAACATTCAGAAAGCTGACATTTCTTTTATTCTAGATACAATGAATAGGTAAGAACATCTCATGAGTGAGTTTGCTACTCTAAATCAGCAGGTGGATGTAGTAAAATGAATGCAAAGTAAGCAGTACAAACAGCAGGTGAGTGGTGCTTCTCAAACCACCCAAGCATGTAAACAAAAATGTTAAATGGATTTAAGAGCGGATTTCATTCACTGCATACCTTGACAGCCGAGGAACTTTGAATTTTTCTTCCAAAACGTATAGCCTAACAAAAACAATGCTTGTTAAAGCCTATGGAGTACGGAAGGGTGGTTACCTATCAATCAGGAGGTTGATGGTTTGAGTCCGGGCTACCCTGGGTCACATGTTAAAGACACTAAACCCCACGTTGCCTGTTGGTATATCAACTGGTGTGTGACTGTGTGCATGAATTGGGCATGTTATGTATAAGTGCTTTGAGTGGTCAATCAGACAAGAGAATGCTACATGAATACAGCCCATTTACAAGCAAAAATGGCTTTAAAATATTTTGCTATTTAAAAAACAACAACAACCCTACAGTAACTACAGTATCAAATTTTGAAACTCAGATCAAATTCATGTGTCAAAATAAACTAACTGTAACCTCTAACCTGTGCAGCAGTTCACATCAAAAGGATCCAAACATATTATCAGTCATAGTCATCCTCATTGTTTCAGAATAATGGTGCACTAACCAAAGCAATACCCTTTCCACCGCTCACCATTTCAGTAACCACGTACTTTCCCATTCAACAAAAATAATAGAATAGAATTAGAAAAGCTTAGAATTGTAAAATATTTGAGTATTTCGTCTGTGGGGAAACGTCAGTGATGGACATGTAAAGCTTACTTCATGTAAAGCTTATTTGTAGTGTTAGTGATTCATGTGAATTTTCTGATAAAACGTTGATGAAGAAGTTGTTGAAGATAAAAATGAATGTTGAACCACTGGACAAACGATGTTGATGTACAAGTCAAATAATATAATGAAAGGTCAATAGGACATAATGTCACAAAAAAAACAATAGAATTGTCAAGCTGTTGATTTTAATAATCAAGTTTTGCTGTTGGAATTAAATGTGGATCAAAAGATTAAGAGACCGCCCTCTACACTGGAAGTACACACCTGTCTGTACATAAATATCTACAAATCAACGGACCGCAAAAGTTTATTTTAGGATAAAAAGATATGTCAGTGTCTCGTTTTGGGTGGAATGAATATACGCGAGATTAGATAAGATCAGCTTTAGCTCCATTATCATGAGCATTACCAAAAATAACCAAACAAGCTAATTAGACGTCCATTTGTAAGATTGGCTACGAGGCTAACAGCTATATGGCCCAGACACCGTCAGCTAACGATGTTTTGGCTAATGTTAGCTATTGATGTTAACACCAGCTAACAAAGAGTCCTGCTCTCCATTACAGGAACCGAAATATATATAACAGCGTTAGCTAATGTTATTCACAACTCAATAAACGTAGCTGCTTTTAGAGCAGCTATCAGCGTGGGACGAGAAATTGGCATGCGTGTCAAGCTCCAGGTATTGACAGTTTATTGTCTGTGTATGTGTGTATGACTGTGTGCTATCAAGAAATGCTGCCACAAATCTCACACACACACACCTGCAAGCCAGGCAGGCAATCAGACCCAGCAGACGAAACAATGGTCGAAATAATAGAGGAGGCTGCGGGTGGTTTCATAGCAGGTTGTCATCTTATCATTCTCACCTATGAGTCGCTTCTCGGCGGTTCATTTGTTGTCCTCCTTATTCTCCCTGGCAGCCATTACCGCTGCGTACGTTCCGTTCGCTCAGTCCAACAGACTGTGTTGTGTCAAACACTGGACGTGAGAACGTGCAGCTGGCGCTGCTGTGCGGCGCGGCTCGAAAAAGGCGACGATTTCCGGTCAAATTTCAAAGTAAACAGCGTGGCCTCCAAACAGACTAACAGAATGTCATATTGTTCCATATTCAAAAGGAAAAGAAAACACGTATCAGTTTTAATTAGCCATTTTGACTTAATAAAAACACAAAAACACATTTAATATCAACTTCCCATAATTAGAAATATTCTACTATTTTTAACTCTACCATATGAAATATCAGATGATAAACTGGTAATAACTGATAATCCATAACTAAAACATGAATAGTTAAACTGATGTCAGTTGAAAATCTCACAGCAAACAGAATGACACATTTTTAAGTATTCTTTTAATTTTACAAACATAACTTAGCCTACTTAAACCATTTAGTTTGTGACATCCTCCAGGACATATACAGTGGGGGAAATAAGTATTGGACCCCTTGCTGATTTTGCAGGTTTGCCCACTTACAAAAAATGCAACAATCTATAACTTTAATCATATGTACATTCTAACAGCGAAAGACAGATTCCCAAAGAAAATTCCAGAAAAATCACATCATATGAATTTATAAAAATTGATAACCATCTGATGAGGAAAAATAAGCATTCTTTGTAAGTGGGCAAACCTGCAAAATCAGCAAGGGGTCAAATACTTATTTCCCCCACTGTAAGCAGACATCCATCCATCCATTCATTTTCTTTACCGCTTATTCCCAACGGAGTCACCTGAGGGCTGGAGCATATCCCTGTATACAGTGGGTGAGAGGCAGGGTGCAGGGTACACACTAGATGGTCCAGCCGTCCATTGCAGGGCCTCTGCAGAACATATTGAAATGAAAAGGATGACGAAGAGGATGACGATTTATCATGGGAAATTAAAGTTTACTCACAAAAAGCAATGAACACACACCGGCAGTCTGTGGAAATCCTTGACCATGACAGAGCCACTGTATGCCAGAGGGTCCCAGAAGCTGTCACAGGCTGCCACGGAGTGCCAGAGTTGCCACTGGTTGTCAGTTATTACCTTATACCCATGTAGTATATGAAAACATACGACAAACTGTGGGGGGGGGGGGGGGGGGGGATCAACCTACATACCAGGGTAACTTTAAAAGAGTACGTTTGGGTCTTTGAAAAAAAACAAAAGTGCTATATAAACAATCTAGAATGAAACTGAGCCACAGGGAATGAAATAACAGAACACAGAAAAGTGTGTACTTCAATTTTTTCTTCTTATATGAATAAATACAGTTAGTTCCATGGATCTGTTTATTAAAGAACGACAATATCATCTGCAAGTCACAACTGAGCAACATGGTCTAATGATACTTCTATTGATACTTCAGTGATGACTAATTGTTTGCAGATGATCAGTGGCCATGCAGTGAGGCTGCAGTCTTCTCTCTTTGGTACCCCATGGCACCTCTGGCACCCTGTGACACTTTCAGGTACCCTGTGGTACCCTCTTTCACCTCATGGTATCTTGTAAAAACCATTTGCACCTCGTGGCCCTTGTGGCACCTTCTAACACGGCTGTAGCAACCTCGTGGCACACAGTGGCTCTTTTGTGCTTTTGGGTTTAAATAGTTCATTGTTTTGTTTTGTGAGTGAAGATTAATTACACATAATAAACCAACTGTGGAATCGTTCCTCTTCATCATCCTTTTCAGCCTGTGGCACCTCTGGTACCCCATGGCACCCACTGGAACTCATGGCAACCTGTGGCACACAATGGCTCCATTGTAGTCAGGGATTTCCACAGAGTACCTGTGTGTATCTACACTGTTTGTCGTAATGTTTTGTGAGTGAACATTCATTCCCCATAATAAACCAACTGTTTATGAAATGGCTCCTCTTCATAATTCTTTTCAGCATGTTACAATTTCTATAGCTTACATAACACTATAAAGAGGCCAGAGGGTGCCATTCACCTTTTGTCTCTGTGGCATGGCTATGGAGAGAGATCCCACTGACTGCTAGAATAGGCCCTGCTGTCAATACAGTTCATGACTTTATTTGAGCGATGGATCAAGTAAACCACTGGCCAACAGAGAAGTGGACTATTTAGCTGCTTTTATAGCTCACAGGTAAAGTACGCAGTGCAGATATGGATTGTTATATTAGTGATTTTGAAGTCATTAACAGAGTTAAGGATATCACTCTTGCCCGTCATGAGATAAACTCCAACACATAGATAGTCTCACTTCATGGACATATGACAATTCTTTTTGGTTGTTTGAAAAGATTGTTGTTATTATATGCTATACCTTATAGTATACTTTAAATAACAATTTTTCAACAAATCTCAGATTTATATCACCATTTATTGATCAAACATACCTGTAGTAAAAAGTGAACACCAGTTTAAAGCATAAATTAATACAGTATAGAGAGCACAATATTTTAATTTTTAATCATTCAATCTAACCACATTCTATTTCAGCTTAACAAGGCAGTTAGAAAATGATAAAACTAGTTCTTGCTGCATTTTAAAATTGTAAACCCACATAGACATTAAAGTGACAGATGTATCCATTCTAGTTTGTAAAAATAAGATATCTTTCTACAAAAATACGTAAAGCTTCAACTGTAACCATCAATTTGATCTTAAACAGAAGATTTCTGATGTTTTGGCAGGAACAATGATAATAAAAATAAGTTTATTTTATTGTACAATGCATATACTGAAATGAGCAGAAGCAAAGTAAAGTCTGGACATCTGTGGATCACAATTATGTTACATCCTCTATAGAAAAAAAATTGCCTCCAAACAGGCTAGCATCTCAAAAACTCTTAAATATTTTAACCGTGAGACCACTGTGTGATACCACTGTTTTGATCAATATAAAATATCACACTGTCCAGAATGTAAGGTCAGTATCAAACAGGATTTATAGTCAATTATTTTTATTCATAGAAAAATAGTCTTAGTATTAACTACTCTGTTTTATTTGTGTAAAAATCGCATCTTGCAATGTTCACCTGGCAATCAGTATATTGGGTTTCGCAAAAAACCAAAACAGTAAAAACTTGATCATCTGTTATCTATGTTTCCTTTCACCACTGGAACCTATATGGAGTCTGTCAAAAGAGTTTGTCCTTGTCACGTCTGGTGTCTCGTCTCGTCTTGATTACCTATTGTGTACACCTGGGGTTCCCCTCCTCATGTGTTTAAATAGTCCTGTTTCCCCTTGTCTGGCCCGAGTGCGTTTTCGTCTTCTTGTCTTCTAGTCCGTCTTGTCCATCGTCACCCCCACGCCAGGTTTGTTTTGCCATAGTCTTTTGTTTTTTGTCATAGTCACAGTTTTGCCACAGTTTTGTCATTCTTTACTTTGTTACTTTGTCACAGTCATAGTTTTGCCACAGTCTTGTTTGCTTTGCTTTGATACTTTGCCCACAGTTTTCCACAGCTTTGATTTGTACTTTGTCTGGACATTCACTCTGTTTTTTTTTGTACAATAAACCTTGTCTCCGCACCTGAGTCCTCCGTCAACACCCACCTCCATGACAGTCCTGTGATTATATTACAGTGCTTTATATATGGACTAGTGTCACTGACAGATCTTTAGCATTAAAACATCACAATTGTAAAATTCAATCTCTTTACAAAGGTCACAAAATACATTTTTAGATTTATTAAATGACTGCATCATTAAAAGACATTTGTCCAAATAGTTGTGACATAGTTTACAGTATGTGCACTGAGAATGCAAAAGATACAGATATGTATAAATTGCAGAATAAGGAAAACACTCTTTCATCATAATGACAATAAACCCAAAAAGTCACATAAAAGACAACACTCACATATGACTGCAACTCACAATCACTCTCAAGTCAGCGCATGCTGTTTTCCTGACATGTTAAGTTAAAAACATTCCCTTTGGATCAATAAAGCTTTACAGACAAATCCAGCAAAACAAACAGCAATAGTCTTGCAAATAAATCAGATAAGAAAGAAGTCACTTAAGAATTAAGAGATTAATTTCACTTCAAATGCAAAAAGAGTGGTGAGGTAGTGTTGTTTGAGAGCAGTTCAGATAAACCCCAGCCTCAAGATGAGGTTTTGGCACTTGGTGTATTTCAATATAGGACTTGAAAATGTTCACCCATTGTATACCAGCAGACAGAAATGCATAGAATAACAGTAAGTACTCGTCAGATAAAGACATGTCTTTTCATCTTACATTTAAACAAACAGTTATTTTGTTCTGATCGCAAATTCCAAAAATTTGATCAAATGTCAGTACTTTATGGATTGCATACTTCTTAACCCCTTCTGTGAGCATCTGTTAAATTATACTCTTTGGTAATAACTGTCAAAAACATTCACTTCAAAATTATGACATAAATAATATCATACAATCATTTAAAAGGGTTCAAGTTAATTTCTGCATTCTAGCCTCTGTAAGAGGGTTTTGACTGACATGCAGACAAATTAAGAGTTAACACTAAAAAACAAAGAAACTGTGTTTGGCTATTTCCTCCTGTGGTTGAAGTGGTAGTAGGAGCTACTACCACCACCACCATCAAGGGCCTCATACCTCCTTTGGCTATTACTCCCTGGAATAAAGATCGTGACAAATTTCTATTGGTAGATGAGGGTAAACTATCAGCTAAATATTTTCTAAATTTTTTGCCTGGCGCTACAGTCCAGTGGTCCAGAGAGAATCTGATATAGTGGACAAACTTACTGGCACATACACATTGTTTTCTTTTTGTCTTTAATTTTGAACTGTGACTGAAAATGTATACTGTTCTGACAAAAATTAATTATATCATAATCAAACTAGTTAAGTTACTAACCAAGCCTGCTAAAGGATACAACTACTGGCCCATGTCAAACTTGCCATTCCTAGAAACAGTCCTGAAAAAGTTGGATACCAACAGCTATCTTCTGTTTTAAAGAGGCACTACACACTTTCCAGTCAACTTTAAGGCTCCACCACAGAACTTAAAAATCTGATCAAGGTGACAAAATATGTCATCCTGAACACAGATGCTGAGAAAGTCTTGGATTTGGTTATGCTTGACCTGAGCACCACTTTCAATACAGCAGACCAGGTGATTTTATTACAAAGGTTATAAGACTGGCTGGCAATATCTGGTATGGCTTTAAACTGGTCCAAGTCCTACAAGGAACTGTGTCTCAGACCACATGGGTCAGACCTGTCCGTTCAGTGTGTCCATGCTTCGATTAGGCCAGCTAATACACAACCATAATGTGTCTTACCACAGTTATTCAGATAACATTCAGATCTACATGTTGCTGACAGCTGGAGAACATGGGTCTCTACATTTATTGTGCCGCTATACTGAACCGATCAGTTTGTAGATGCAGAAAAACTTTCTCCACTTAAAAAGAAAGTGTAATCTGTCACCTTACCACTCTCTCTCTCTATAACCTAAGTATCAAGTTAAAAATCCTGGGATAATACTGGACTCAGCTCTGAACTTTAACAGCCACATTAAATCAATAACATCATCTGCCATTTTCCCATCTAAAAACATTGCCGCAATCAGAGGAATAGTGTGTAAACCAGATTTAGAAAGACCAATCCATGCATTTATCCCTATCAGGTCGTACAGGGACCTAACAGCCCGTGACAAAGGGCCTGGTACTCCATACTCCCGGAGCACCTCCCACAGGATTCCCAGAGGGACACGGTCGAACACCTTCTCCAAGTCAACAAAATACATGTGGACTGGTTGGGGGAACTCCCATGCACCCTCCAGGACCCCACTGACGGTATAGAGCTGGTCCAGCATTCCACGGCCAGGACGAAAACCACACCGTTCCTCCTCAATCCGAGGTTTCACTATCCGACGGACCCTCCTCTCCAGAACCGCCGAATAGACCTTCCCAGGGAGGCTTAAGATTGTGATTCCCCTATAATTGGAACACACCCTGCGGCCCCACTTTTTGAATAGGGGGACCACCACCCCAATCTGCGTAACAGCCGAACTACAGCCGAATCTCATCCACCCCTCGAGCGCTGCCACCGCAGAGCTTTTTGACCACCTAGGTGACTTCAGCCCCAGAGATTGGAGAGCCTGACACCAGATCCCCAGCCCATGCTCCTCCAATAGAAGACCACCTCCAATGGGATTGAGAAGGTCTTCGAAGTACTCCGCCCACCGACCCACAACGTCACGAGTTGAGGTCAACAACACTGCTTCCCCCCTGAGACATCAGATGGTGGACCAAAATCGCCTCGAAGCCGAACGGAAGTCTTTTTCCATGGCCTCCCCGAACTCCGCCCATGCCCAAGTTTTTGCTTTGGCAACCACCAGAGAGTCCCGCTTGGACTGCTTCAAGGCCAGGTAGTACTGCTTCAACGGCTCACCAGGTTATATCCATTGGAACCACCTGAAGCTACTTTCCACCCTCCATGGCCTCTCCACCAACAACTTCACTCCTACGGACCTTGACACCATCACCAAGGCTGCCTTTCCAGACCAGGAAAGGAATATTGATGAGAAGGCGGTTGGCCAATTCAGAAGTTCTTAACATTGTTGATCATGTTCACTGGCTTCTCCAGTGCCTTCTCCAGTGCCATTGCCTTTAACACCATTCAGCCTCCTATACTAAGAGACAAGCTTCTAGGTATCGGGGTGGCACCCCCACTGACGCCATAGATTACAGACAATCTGACTGCCATACCACAGTATGTCAGGATGGGCAGGTGTGTTTCTGGAGTGCTCAAATGCAGTAGTCAGGCTCCAATGGGTTCTGTTGTAGCTCCTTTAATTTTCATCCTGTAAACATAAATACATAGATATATTCAGATAAAGCTTGGAATCCTGCCACATGAAGAAATATTCTGAATATACAGCTATTGTAGCATGTGAGCATGGTGGACAGGAGGATGAGTACTTTACCTTGTGGAGGCCCTCAATGACTGGACCAAAAAAGAAATTGCCCTTCTCATGAGCCCTAAAAAGACCAAAGAGCTGGTGGTGTACAATAGGAGACAAACTAGTTAAAGGCAAGTTCTTTACCCTAATATAAAATTTATGTAAATATCTCAATTTAAGATACTTGGCTGTTTGAATTCCCCCCCACTCTGGTATGAGGGTATTTTTTTATTTTTGTTTTTAGCAGCAGTCATATGCATGTTTTGATGCATTGACATTAGATTGTATCTTTCTACAAAGAGAGGAAACTATGTGGAAATGAAAGATTCTATGAAAGTTGTTTTGGAAAGAACATGTAAATATTACAATGTCATGCATTATATACATTTCTTTGCTGTTTTTTTATGTGTTACACAGATTTGGCCCTCATTTTACATCAGAATACAGCTGCCAGTTTTAGAGGATGGGTAAACACCAACCCACAGTGTCTGATTGAGTTAATTTTTAGCACAATGGATAGCTCAACTTGAAAGTAAATGTTTCAATCAGAGACATGCCTTAAGGCTGTGTCTTTAGCGTGTAAATGGTTGATTATATAGAGAAATTGATGGTTTATTTATCTTATTTATTCATTCATTCATTTATTGTTGCAGCTGTTTGATTAACTTGTAAATCGAATGTATCACCATTAAAGGAAATTGATTTCGAACTTAAGTACTTAAACTTTAGTTGACTTTTTTTCAAATCTAGTCTGAAAGCACTGGTCTACATTCGCAGGCATCTAGATAACCCATACACTATAACTCCCACTAGATGTCACCTTAATCATTGCTAGTAAAACCACCCAAAACGTCATTAGTGCCAGAAGGATGTATGTAAAGTGCATTTAAAATTTTACACCACAAAATAATACTATCTTCTGCAGATGAACAATATCTGAAAGTGACGTCCTTAAGAAAGCAAAACAATGTGAAGAATGTTACAGAAAGGAACTCACATTTCATCCTATATGAGAGATTTTCATATAAGCTCCACCTCCTGCTTATTTCAGGCACCAATCGACCACCATAGCCTGAATCTTTTTCCGGTTGGACTTAGTCCTCCCTCTTGCTAGCATCACATAAATAGATGTAATAGTCTTTTCTCTGATTTGGCAGTTTATTTGTTTTTGTTTTTTGCTCTTGTTCCACGCATCTATTCGGGATACGGATGCGGTTTCCTGTTCCGAGCAGCAGCTTCCGCAGCTCGATGGGGAAGGGGGAGGCAGCGTTTGGACGGAATCAAAAGGTAACCCGATTCGGTTGGTTTGAGCTGGACAGCAGCTTCTCTGTCGAGACTCGGGGGGAGTTACAGCCAGGTGAAATTAGATATCACTTTACTTTTGAAGGGCCAAAGAGCCTGAGTCAAAGAAGCGCAAAATGCGCCCATCATGGTCTTGATTATGGATTGTTTTTGGGTTTCACAGGCTCCATTATGCAACAGTACAGCTGCTGAACGGTCGTTTGAACGGATGTCTGTCCATGCTAAAAGACGATGACTGGTAGCTGGTATTAACAAGAGCTAGAGCTCCCCCCCCCCCCCCCCCCCCCCTCTTCCGCCGTCAGCACCACGGACAGCGACTATGAGCCGGTTGCGCAGGAGGGCTCTGGTTGCGCTCTTCCTCTTCACTCTCTTCATTTTCGGGACCATGATGGGGCTCAGGACGCTGAAACCCAGCGACGGCTTCTCGGACCTGGCGCCCGGAATGGACTCGATCGGGGAGAGATCCGAGAAGAGGCGAGTCGATGGGAAAAAAGACGTGGCGGTGTCGCCGGGCCAGTTTCACACCGGCGGTAGCGACACCAAGGTGGTTTTCACCAGGTCCGACCGAGAGTACAGTATATTTTATGATGTGCACATCTTCTATTACCTGTGGTACGGCTCTCCGAGCATGGATAACAAGTATATCCACTGGGATCACGTGCTGGTCCCGCACTGGGACCCAAAGATCGCAGCCAGTCATGCCCAAGGGAGGCACTCTCCTCCAGAGGACATTGCCTCGAGTTTCTACCCGGAACTGGGACCCTACAGCTCCAGGGACCCGAAGGTGCTGGAGATGCACATGGCCCAGATAGAAGAAGCTGCAACAGGTAGTAAACACCATCTCTGCATATCTCTGCTACTCTGCTGTTCCGTTTTTTAATTAATTAGTTTTCTAGCTTTGCTTAATCCTATTTAGAGTGACAGGAAGGCTGGATATATCCCTGCTGGTATGGGTTGGTAGCTGGGTTACACCCTGTACAGTTCACCAGCCCACCATTGGGTCACAAAACCAGTCACACCCACACTCACCAGGGTCCATTTAGAGATACGTAATAATGTGCTTTTTTCTCCCAGAGCTCTTTTTTCAGGTGAGAATTTGTTTCCTCATAGTCTGTATCTTAGGGCCGGTGTGAAACTACCTAGCAAATGCTGGTCTGTATGAAAACGTAGGTCTGATTTGCTTACCAGTAAACCCAGGTGTGATCCACTTACAGTGGGAAATGCAAATTGGGTGTTCAGTGAACCACAGAGAGGATGTGATGTAACCTCAATCATCTGCCAGTCTATGATGTCTTTTTTGGTAATGCTGCATTTTTCTCATCTTAAGAGCAACATACTTGGTAGATTATTTTGAAAAAGTAAAAAGGTTTGAAAACCCAAAGTAAAAAAAGACACTCAAAGGTTTGGAGTTGCTCCATTAGTCATTTGTGTATCAGGTATTTATGTATCAGATCCTGGACATTTTTTTTTCATCATGCATTTTTTCTTCTTTGTCATTGGTCATATAGAGGACAGTAGCAATACCATCCCAGAGCAGCTGTTGCAACTGTTTTATGTTGTCCAAGCATTTCATACTGTATTTTCAAAAGTAGTAAGAAAGGAACCCAAACCATCCATCCATTTTCTGAACTGCTAATTCCCAAATGGGGTCACGAGGGGGCTTGAGCCTATCCTAGTAGTCAATGGGCAAGAGGTAGGGTACACCCTGGACGGTTCGCCATCCAATCACAGGGCCAACAACATACAATCACGATCACTCCTAAGGGTAATTTTGGAATGTCCAATCAACCTAGCATGCAGCTTTTTGGACGGTGGAAGGAAGCTGGAGAGAACCCACCTGGTTCCCCCAGGGACCTTAACCCAGAACCATCCTGCTGTGAGGTGATGGTTCCCAGAACCCAAACCAAGTGTGAAATTATTTTGCAATCCCTGTCCAATTTGATGAAGTTCATCAGCCTATCCTGGTGTGAAAGTGCACTTACATGGATGATTTTGAACAGTGGGAAAAAGTCAGAGTACAAAGACAAAACCAACATAGTTGGAATTTAAACCAGAAAGCCTTTTGCTGTGTCAACAATGTTAACAACCACCCTCACTTTGAAACCTCAATTTCTCACAATATTTGAACATCAGTAAAGTTTAATGCTGCTTAATAGATGCTGCCTTAAATAGCTAGATTTATGTACCGAAGTCTCCATTTATCAATTTAAAACAAAAGGATCACTATATTTTTATGTGATAATAGTAACTGATTGTAAATACCCTGATTTCAGTTAGCTGATTTTAAACCAAGGGAATATAAAGCTTTTAACCCTGAATTATTTTGCATCGCCATCCGCAGATTGCAACAGGCACAAAGCTATCGCATCTCAGTGCACATTGTTAAAAATGTACAACAACGGACAAATTCAGCATACAAAAATAATTAACAGTTTAAGAAAAGGAGCTTTGATCTCTGAAAAAATATATAATGGGGAAAAGGATCTCAACGAGACAATGCAAATTAAGTCTCATTGTCTTTGTGTCATCATGCAAACAAATAAGCAAAGATTTGTTGACCAAGATCTGTCAAATATGTCTTGATATGTCTCCCCTCAGCTTGTTTTTAAGTGGGCTTTAAGTTAAGATGTTACTTTACAACTAAAACAATAAACAATTCAGCTTGTTCATATTATATCGTCTTGGTTTTCTTAATTTTTCCAATTCAGTTGTACTTGACAGATATCACATGTCAACAACTGACATGAGTGTAATTTGATTATGTCAATAAAGAGGCCTCAGCTTTTATAGTCACTGCGTTCTTTTAAATCTGACATACATGCCAGTCTCACTAGTCTGTTTCCAGATTAGGATAACAGGAATAATTTCAACCTGGATCCCAGTTATATAAACTAATTGTGATCACGTGATTAAAAGATTACTATGACAGTCTTCGTACCTAGTTGAACATGGAAGAACATGAACAGCTTTACTTTAAAAAAAAAAAAAACAATATATTGATTCTGTCTGAAGTTAGTGTCTGTCGTTACTTAGTTTATCTTGTTTGTACCTGATCTTATATTACTTCTGGGTCAAAAGCCACTTCAAGAGTACCAAGAAAAATGGAAAGCCCACTTTTATAAATGTCCTGTAGGGTTATTTATTTATTGATTTAAAATGTTTGCTTTAAAATCTAATTTTGATTAGCAGAACAATAATTTTTTTAATGTAATGTAAATTTATTGACTGAGTCCACCTACATTATAACTTGGAGTTGAAATCCTAATTTCTGTTCCACTTTTCTGGCACTTGTGTTGTCAATATGTTGGGAAAAGAGAGCCTTCCAGATGCTTACGGTCAGAAACATGTAATGATTTCTAGGTTACATGAGTTTTAACTTGACAGATTAATCTGGCCATTGCACAGTAAATCACCTAAGAGCTGTAAGAGATGTTTAAATGATGGACTTGGCATGGAATTTGTTTGCAAAATCTCTACGGATTATTATAGCTTGCAATGCTAAATAACACTGATCAGTTTGATGCTGGATATTTGACCCTATCAACTTCCCAAGGAATATGACCCAAACTTTCTTAAGTTTGTTGATGCAGTAGAACAAATTGTTGCTATATAACATTAATGTTTATATCCATTATTAGTTACTAGTTTCTTTCTTTTTTTAATGACAATTTCTAAATGTCACCAAATGTTGTAATTAATTTGTTCTGAGGAGATGAAAATGGAAAAAATTTGGCAATCCAAATTCTGAAAGTTCATGTCTTCCTGTCTCCCTGGGTTTTTGTAGGGGTGCTGGTGTTGTCATGGTATCCTCCTGGGGTGGCGGATGATCATGGGGAGCCCACTGAGGACCTTGTTCCTTATGTCATGGACGCTGCCCAAAGGCACAGCATCAAGGTAACTGGTGAGACAACCGGTATGTTTTTCCCTTTCTGATGATCTACTGAATTAATTAACTTTTGACAATATTGCCCTGAATCTTGTAGGATTACATCGGTGCTTATGCTGTGTATGAAAATACCTTTTTTCATTATTTTTGTCTTAACTGACTTACATGCTTGACATATAATTTGAATTCAAAGTGTGTGGTGCTTGTTCCCCTTTGTAAATATAATTGTTAAAAGGGAAAATCTTTCACTGAAAGAAAAAATATGCAGATCGGCCTCACCCCAGAATGTGTAATATCAATATTTGTCCACAGCTTTTAGATCCTGTGGTTTTATTTTGCCTTGTGTCTTGTTAAGGGCAGTGTTAATTAGCTCAGTTTACCCAAAATGCATCTTGTCCTGCAGTTGCAGAGCATTCTGTTTCCCTGATGTCACTGACAGTCAGGAAATTGAAACTCGGTAGCAGGTTTGAGTTAAACTCTCAGTTGATATTAAAATATCTGTGTTTCAGAGGCCTGCCTTGCTGAACTGCTATTTTTTGGGGATATTTATCCTAGATTTTCCTCTTCACTGTACAACTAGATCTGAGAAAGTCATACCTACTTCAGCACCCTAGGGGATTTTAATAACATAAGCAATATGATTCTGAAGGTGTGTGTTACAGCGGCCATTTAATAATCTGAGCCCAGACTCAGCGTTAACAATTAAAAGAGTTTTCCTTTACTTTCATGCTCCTCATGTGGAAGTCTTGACCTGACAATTGAGACTCTCTGTGTGTCTTAGTCAGACTTATACAACAGAGTGCGTCTCACAGCTGACCTAAAGGCTAATGTTCCAGTATTTAGTGCACTAGACCTGCTGCTGACAAAATACAAGCTGAAGTCTGTGTGTGTGTGTGCGTGCGTGCAAGCGTACGTGTGCTTGCGTGCGTGTGTGTGTGAGTCTCAAATGCCATGAATACGAAGGTATTTGGGACCTTTACTTTCAGATAAGACAGATCATTCTACCAACAGTAAGAAATGAAGCCTACACAAAAATATTTGTTTGTACTGTTTTTTTACTGACAACCCTTTCACTATTTTATGTTACGTTTATTGAACCAAATGTAACACCACAATTTTCATTCCCACTCCGACTCTCAAGTAAAGCTAATTCAAATTGTTATACTGACTCTGCACAGATAAATGCATGGATATTATGCTTGTTTTTGGCTGCTCAGCATGTCTATGCTTCACAATTAGTCACTTGTAGATTATCTTTACTTGTAATGTAAATCACCACTTTATTAAGTAAATATATAAGAAATATAGGTGGACATCAGTGTGCAGATAATTCAGACCACATTGCAATGTTTCTTATTGCATCTGGTTACACATTTGTCTGCTTAGGACATAAAAGAAGAAATGTTGCCCCAAACAGAATGTAAGATGCAAATAATTTTGCGTCTGTCATAATCGAGGAGTATCCAATTATTGGTAAGGGCAATAAAAGGGGCTTGTTTGTTTCTACAACATTTATATATCTGAGGTTTGGAGAATCACTAAGCAAGTCAGTCAGTGTTATACCACACGAGGGGATCTGCGTAAATAAAGCACATTTAATATCAGTTTATTCAAACAAACAAGAACAGATTGAACAGCATCTTTCCTCACTGGCCTTTCATAATTTCAAACCAGTTGAGACTGCTGAAAAACACAAACACAGGAACCAAACACTACTGCGTTGCTATGGAAACTGTTTATGAAGACCTTGCAAACTCTTTCGAAAAATGGGCGTTTAGTGTTCGATGTTTGTGACTCAACAGCTCCATCAGTGCTTTACTGTTTGCCATTGAACTGCAGCAAACCCTTTTGGCACTGTGTGCAGAGGCAAACAAGTCCAACGTAGTTATTTCAAGATGACAGAGGGCATCCACCACTCTGCTTTCGGTTCCTATCAAACAATTGTAACACACTGTTTTCTCTTAAATTGTGTTTACATGGTTAGTTTGTGCAAGTATGCTTAAAAGTTTGCATTGTTACTCAGAAGCAGCTAAAAAGGATTTTAGAGACAGCCAGGTCAGTGGAGTACATATAACACCGCAAGGTTATTTAAATGCAGTAAAATGACAATAAACAAAAGTGAGCAACCTCTCTTCATCCTGGGCTAAAGCTTTCCCTTGTAATGGTAGTTTGACATAACAGTACATGACAATATACATTCTCAACGCTGTTGATTTGGCCACAAACACTTGCAAAAAAGGAAAGAAGGGTGGCTGAAGGCCTTATTTGGCTGATTTGTGTTAGATTTAATTAAATTCAAATGTATTTATATAGCGCCAAATTACAACAAAAGTTATCTCACAGCGCTTTCTAAAAAGAGCAGGTCAGACCGTACTCTGAAGTTATTTACAGAAGCCCAATAATTCTAACCAAAAGCAAGCACTAGGCGACACAGGCAAGGAAAAACTTCCTTTTAAGAGGCAGAAACGTAGAGCAGAACCATGGCTCAGGGTGGCCTCATCTGCCTCGACCGGTTTGGGGTGAGAGAGAGAGAGAGAGAGAGAAGGCAAGGGGCGGGGGGGGGGGGGGCGGGAGGGGGCGGGGGGGGGGGGGGGGGGGGGGGGGGGGGGGGGGGGGGGGGGGGGGGGGGGGGGGGGGGGGGACAGAGAGCAGAGGGAGCAGGGGGTGACACAGAGAGGTACAGCCAAGTAAAGGTAATGTTGCTATAGAATGAATGAACATTTATACATATATTGATAGTAATGTTATTGATAATGATAACAGTAATAATAGCAATAGGACTAGGAACAGTATATGTAATTGTAGCAGAGGGTGTCGAATAGGGACGCGGATGCATCTGATGCAATGCCATCAACAGCCTTTTTCACTTTTCTTCTGCACTTATGTCAAGTGGTAACTACTGTAACCAAGTGGTTATGGTTAGGAGTTCGGGTTTAGAGATTTGCACATATTAGTATTTACATGGTGCATTTGCCATACAAAGACTGTGCACTAATATCACTTGCTTAAGTAAACTGTGAATCTCTTATAATGCTGATTAGTTTAAATCAAAATTAGTCATACCTAAAATATTCAGTGTAAACACATGAATATGTAAGAATACAAAATGAACACTCAGACGATACTGCAATCCAGAAATGTTCACAGACTGCAGTCATACTAGATATAAAATAAAAAAAATGTATACAAATAAAAATTATATGAAGTATAACACTTTATTTTCCAGCATTTCGCATATTAACGTGGTGCTTTATATGAACATTATTATTTGCATGTCTCTGTACAGGTAGCTTTTCACATACAGCCATACAAGGGACGGACGGATCAGAGCATGCATGATAACATCAAATACATTATTGACAAGTAAGTTGATTTGCTGAATGTTCGCTTACATTATTCTTCTATTTGTTTCCTTTCATTGCCTGAACGGTTTGTGCTCTGCTGTCATTAGATGCTGACATAACAGGGCAAAAGATCTAGTGAAACATGAAGCCTGAAAAAGGAAGATCAGTAACAGCTAGTTAAATATAGATGTATCCCCAGTGATCCTATTGTAATGGATCTGAATGAGTTTTTCAGTCTGTGCTTTGAGCTCAAGATTTAGCAGTACCTGTTATATTTAAAACTGAGCAATTGTGTATGCCGACAGGTTTTGTGTCTGATAAGATGATGTTTCTTTTCTATTATATCATATAGAAACAGAAGCCCTTGATTTTAGTTGTAATAAAAGACAAGAATAAAAAAGTATCAGTAGTTCTCAGATGCTACATTGTTTAAAAGTTGCAAGAAGAAATACCATGAAAGTTCAGACTTCAGTAGTGTTATTATCTGGATTGTACACTGCTTTGCTTTGACAAGCTGCTTCGTAGCGTTAGATGACGAGTAGATTGTCAGAAAAAGAAACTACTAGTATGGTTCAATTCGAGCAAGCATGAACATTAATAAAGGAATTTGTCCCTTGCACAATGTGTAAAACAAATGTAAGCGCAGGTCACTGGCCTGTTTTTGTCATTAGAACTCAGCAAAAGCAACTACCTGCAGTTAACTGCAGTTTTGTAAACATTTCTTAGTGTTATTGCTTAATAATAATGCAGCCCTTCTACGCTGTAAATTAATATTTCAAATTTTATTTTATTGAACAATTTTTTGCAAAAGCAATAAATAAAGCAAATGATTTTGCCAGACATTAAGGTAACCAGATCTATCCCCTATTATTAAAGGTAAATTGAACAACAAGAAACACAATTTAAAAAATATGTATCATACTTGTCCTATGATACACATTTCCACTGTGTGATGGTCCATCCCAGGGGCCTCCAAGTCCAGCTCTGGAAAAAGTCAACATGAGATTTCTGTCTGCATTAAAAAACAAATAAAATGTTGTGGTAATTTGTGAACATGGTTTTATTTTGTAATGCTAAACAAATGTTTCCCAAAAAAATCCCCTTCTCTTGCCCAGATTACAGGCTTCCATCTAACTCCCTTTTTATTTAAGCACTGAAATTCCTTCAAGTGCTTTAAATAGGTCGATTATATTCTGTCAAGAGGACATATGGAAATCAAAATTTGTTTGGAATAAAATGGGTCACAGTAAATGTAGGAATAACTGCCTTTATTTTAGTTTTAATGTACTTTTCCGGACTACTATCTTTTTTTAAATTCACATCTCAGATGTGTTTTTATTTATAAAGCTCCCTGTTACATTTTTGTTGTTGAAGTAACTGCAGTGGCCATCAAAAGAATAATCTCCACATAGTTATTTCAAACTGCATTTCATGAATAACGTACTGACGTCATATGTGTAGAAATCTGATGTAACTGATTTTGCTCTTGATTTTTGCTCCTTAGATATGGAAAACATGGAGCCTTCTACAGATTTAGGACAAGCACAGGGCGAGTTCTACCTCTCTTTTATGTCTATGACTCCTATCTGACGACTCCTGAATCCTGGGCAGAGCTTCTTACAGCTAGGGGCTCCAGAAGCATCCGAGGCACACCATACGACGGGGTTTTTGTCGCCCTTATTGTTGAGGAGCGCCACAAACATGACATCCTAGCTAGCGGCTTTGATGGCATGTATACCTACTTTGCTTCAAATGGTTTTTCCTTTGGCTCATCCCACCAGAACTGGAAAGCCATCAAGTCTTTCTGTGATGCAAACAATCTACTGTTCATTCCCAGTGTTGGTCCAGGGTATGTAGACACTGCTGTGCGACCGTGGAACAACCATAACACCAGAAACCGTGTCAATGGACGTTATTATGAGACCTCCCTGCAGGCAGCTCTGACTGTCAGACCCGAAATTGTCACCATAACGTCCTTCAACCAATGGCATGAAGGCACGCAGATAGAACGGGCTGTACCCAGGAAAACAGTGACACGTCTGTATCTAGACTATCATCCCAACCAGCCGAACCACTACTTGGAGCTTACACGTCAGTGGGCTGAGAATTTCAACAAGGAGAAGGACAAATGGTTGATGTGATCATGGCTTCAGCTGCCGGATAGTTTGTTCTAAGTGTCACACTATACATTATACTAATTTACACAGTACTAAAAGCCAGCCCCTTCTGTTGAAAGACAGCGCCTTTGATTTCATTGTGTTTCCTCCAACACTGAGCACTCCCAGTGCGACTTTGTTTCAATTTGTATTGTGTCCCAGATGTTTTGACTCACTAATGTTTTTATGTACAAATTGATTATGTCAATCATCAGAATAAATGGCACAGTCATCATGATGAGAAACTGATCATTTCCTTTACTAATATCAGAAAGTGTGATTATGAAGGATTGTTTTTTGTTTTGCTGTTGTTTAGAATTTACACATGATCAAAACTGTCCATCTCTGTATTTTCCTTATTAACAATAAAATGTTCATCTGTTTACCATTTAGCATTGAACGATCAGTATTTATGATTAAATAAAAGTGTCAAATGTGACTCTAAACTTAATAAGAGTGCCAAGTCATACTGAAGATGAAGCCCAATTTATTGCCCAAACTCCAAACTGTCTCCAAACTCTACAGCTGAGCTAATTTTGGACCATTGACAGAAGACAATCAATACTGTTAGAATTCAATTCCATCCATTTTCGTAACAGTCCTAAGGGCAATTTGGAATGTCAAATCAACCTAACATACAGGTTTTTGGACTATGGGAGGAAGCCGGAGAGAACCCACACGGACATCATGCAAATATTTAATTTGTTAAAATTAAATAGTCCAAAAATATTAATGTTCTCATCTTAAAAAGTGGTACGGTACATTTGTGATAGTTTGCTTGACTTATTTATGCTGTTACCAAGTTGCAAACAAACATGGAAAGCTATACGGTACCTTAAAAAGTTGTTGTAGTAGCTTGCTGGTTTCAATTACATCAAAGTCATCTGCTATGTTGGATTTCCTATGAGGATGACTCCAGGAAGTCTAAAATCTCAGCAGTAATACTTACTCTCCGCCAAATCTCAGCAGTAATACTTACTCTCCGCCAAACAGAATCTGTGTGGAATTTCCATGTTTCCCCTGTGTCTATGTGGGTTCCTTCCGAGTACTCCTCCCACCATCCAAAAACATGTTAGCCTAATTGGAGACTCTAATTGCACTTAGGGGTGAATGTGAGTGTGTGTGGTTGTTCATCTATGTGATGGCACTTTGATGGACTGGCAACCACTCTAGGCTATACCCTGCCTCTCACTCAGTGTCAGCTGGCATAGGCTCATTACCCTTTTAGAAATTAACGGTAACAAAAATGGATGGATGGATGGCAAAGAGCAGCTATAACATTGAAACCAACCATCTAATAATGTTAAAGATTTCCTCATTCTATCAAAACTGCACTTGCCCATTGAAACAGTAGAACTCTGGTGGTATCCTTTGCTGTTTGACATCAGTAAAAGTTTTGTGAGCATGTAGCTTGTTCTGTTGAATCCTGTGGATTCTCAATAAATTTGGAGAAAGGAAGTTTTGAGCTTTAGCACTGGTCCTGTCCCTCTGGCCCTGAAGGGATGGATATGGTCTACAGACTGAACTGAGATTATTCCAAATTACCTGTCTGTGTTTTTTTAATGTTTTTAAACTACTGACATTTGTGAATGTCTGTCTGGAGAGTAACCTGCAGGTTTATTGACTGAAGGTTTATTCTATGCAACAAAAAAAGTAAGGGAAGGAGTTAAGGATTATGAGAGAATAGATTTGAGATTTGGAAAAAGTTTCAATGGATGACCACATTCAGTCCTTGTGTATATACGAAATTACTGGAGTAAAAACCCCTCTCAGGGGAATCTAATGCAATGCTTTTATGGGTCAGGCTGTATAAGCCGGTGCACGTAAAAAAAAAAAAATTAAAAAAAAAAAAAAAAAAACATGTTTTCAGGCTATAGGCGACCCACTCATAAATGCCAAGCCTTGGAGCAACACTCATTACTCATCTGAAGTTTCCGATTTGAAAGGCAGCAACAACTGAATTTTCCCTAACAAAACACCTAGAAACAGAGTTCAGAACAAAGGGCCATGAAATCCTATCATGATTTTTTTTATTAAATAGCACGCTGAGTTAATCTAGATTATTTGTGTGTTTCAAATTTTCCATTTCATCTACCTTTGTTTTTTCAAAATCATCATGAGCCAGGTTTCAAGTGAAATCAGAAAATAACAAACAATAGCCCAAAAAGATATTTCATTAGTCTGAGATTGTTACGGTTCTGGAGAAGACTGGACCCAAAAGCAAATGAAGACTACAGGATAAGGGAAACAAATGGAGTTATTGAGGTTAAGGGAGAATAGGATTGTCAAGAAGACTAAAATGCATTCAGGATCCAGGTCAGTGGGAAGAGAGTCGTGCCCAGGGGGCCTGTGTCAGAACTGGTGGGGAGGGGCTCAAAGGTGGGCCACTAGCTAGATCCAGGCAAAGGCTGTGCGGGATAATCCATGATTTAGAGGCAATAATTTGGCATTGGAGTCCAGGATGGTGCAGGCACATAACAGAATTCCATGCCCACCTGCCTAGCCAGTCCTGTATGCACCAGCTGAACTGTGTTTTGAAACCACAAGCACCGCTTGGTCATGGACTGCAAAAAATAGAGAGCTCACCATTCCATTTTCCTATTATCGACTATGAATCATAAATACCAGACCAGATTTACACGCAACTATTCTTTCATTTCACTGGGATAGGCTCCAGTCCCCCCGTGAATAAGTGGTGACGATAATGGATGGACATTTAATTTGCTAACCAGCATGCTGGTGACAAACAGACCTGAACTATTTTGGATTTAAAAGAAAAGCAAAAGCACGATTTTGCTCAATGGTGTGAGGAAAGCATGGTAGTCCCTTTTAAAAAAGAAAGGTCATTAGTCATTTTAATGAGTGTTAATGTTGGGAATGAGGAAAAGCACGACGTCAGTGAGGATGAAGCAAACCTATCTAACATGTATTTGTCCATTTTATGGAAAACAAATATTATAGATACCCTGTTGTTTTTGTTATATGTATTTGTTTTGTTACTTAGAAATACAACACAGAGAGACACAATCTTGTTGAAATATTTACACATGCATCTTGTAAATTTGATATTTGCTGTTATCTCACACAATATAGATAGTCGTAATTGTGCTACTGTTTGTAAAAGGCCTCCTATGCGATATCGGAAACACAAAACTTGCAAAGTGCAACAGTTTTGTGCAGACTGCAACTATGCAAGAGCAGATAAACTTTAAATTAAGCCTTGAGTTGTTTTGACTACTAAAGCAGTACCAAAGCTTTCTAAAGTCATTCAATGTTCTTGGTACAGTGTATTTGAACTACTTCTGTTTTTCGATTTTTGTCGTAACTACAAATATTTTGTTTCAACAAAATCAAAATGCCATTTATATTTAGAAAATTGAGAAATGATAAAACATTCTTAAAGGATATGCCTCTCATTTCAGACATTTGAGACCACAAATGGATGGATAGGAAAAGCTATGTTAATGTAATGAGCAGTTTTATGGAGGTATGAAATGCACATTTCTACTTGAAACTGTTTATTTACATATTTAAGAATAAGCTAAAATTACTTTATTGTCATTGTATGTTGCAAAAAGTGAAATTCGGGTTCTCTATCTGAAACCAATAATGAAAGAGAATACGAAAGTACGAAATACGAAAAAATAAGAATGGCCCATTTCCATCATTCACACACCAAAATGCACTGCATACGATATAGATAGATAGATAGATAGATAGACTTCCTTTATTGTCATTGTCAAATACACAAGGTGAATTAGACAACGAAATGTCAATTTCTTGGCTACCAGAGTAAAATTTTTAGCAACGAAATATCAATAAATATGTGTGTGTGTGTATGGGGGGGGGGGTTATGTGGCGTTAAGTAGTCTGATGGCAAGGGGGAAGAAACTATTTAGTAGTCTGGTCGTTCTGCAGAAGATGCTGCGGAACCTTCTGCCGGACGCCAGGGGGGAAAACAGTCCATGGTTGGGGTGGGTGGGGTCGGAGAGTATCTGGCGAGCCCGGGAAAGGCAGCGCCTGTCCGTGATGTTCTGGATGCAGGGGAACGTCGCCCCCGTGATTTTCTCCCCTGTCCTCACCACCCTCTGAAGAGACGTCCAGTCAGAGGCCTTGCAGCTCCCAGACCAGATGGAGATGTAGCTGGTCAGCAGGCTCTCGATGGTCCCTCTGTAGAAGGTCTGAAGGATGGGGGGCGGGAGGGATGCTCTCTTCATCCGACGCAAGAAGTGCATGCGCTGTTGGCCCTTCTTCACCAGTGAGGAGATGTGGACTGACCAGCTGAGGTTGTCAGTGATGTGCACTCCCAGAAACTTGGTGCTGCTTACGACCTCCACAGCTGAGTTGTTGATGAGGAGGGGTGTGTGGGTGGGTCTGGATTTCCTGAAGTCGACGATAATCTCCTTGGTCTTTTTGACGTTCAGGATCAGGTTGTTCACTCTGCACCAGTCCACCAGATGCCGCACCTCCTCCCTGTAGGCCGCCTCATTGTTGTCCCGGATGAGGCCCACTACTGTGGTGTCGTCCGCGTACTTCAGGATGTGGTTGGAGCTGAGGCGTGGACGGCAGTCGTGGGTCATCAGGGTGAACAGCAGGGGGCTTAGGACACAGCCCTGGGGAGTGCCAGTGTTCAGGGTGATGACGTTGGAGGTGTTGTTCCCCACTCTGACAGCTTGGGTTCTGTCAGTGAGGAAGTCCAGCAGCCAGTTGCATAGGGGGGTGTTTGGGGCCCCAGTTTGCCTACCAGGTCCTGGGGGATGATCATGTTGAATACTGAGCTGAAATCCAGGAACAACATCCGTACGTGGGTGTTCTTCTCCTCCAGGTGCTCCAGGCTCAGGTGGAGAGCAGTGGAGACTGCATCCTCCGCACTGCGCTTGGGCTGGTACGCAAACTGGAACGGGTCGTGTGATGGGGGGAGCGTTGAGATAATGTGGTCCTTAACAAGTCTTTCGAAGCACTTCATGATGGAAGATGTGAGTGCGACGGGGCGGAAATCGTTAAGGCACGTGATGGTGGTTGTCTTTGGGACCGGAACGACAGTGGCAGACTTGAAGCACCGTGGGACGACGGCCTGGTTCAGGGACGTGTTGAAGATGTCCGTGAGCACGTGGGTCAGCTGGTCCGAGCATTCTTTAATCAGCCGACCTGGAATGTTGTCGGGACCTGCAGCTTTCCGCGCGTTGACCTTCCTCAGAACTTTCCGCACTGCTGATGTTTCTAGTCTGAGCGCCTGTTCGTCGGGGTGTGGTGTCGCTTTCCTCGCAGGGTTGGAGTTCAGCTCCTCAAATCTTCCAAAGAAGTTGTTGAGCTCGTTGAGGAAGCCGGTGTCGTTCTGGCAGGATGAGGGAGGGGGTTTGTAGTCCGTGACAGACTGGATGCCCTGCCACAGTTTCCTCGTGTCGTTGGAGTCTTGGAAGAGACCTTGGA